CAGCTCTGTTCATGTTTGGCAGATTAAAGGCCATGACTTCCTGCCTCACATAAAATCTCAAGACAGAAGAGCCTTGCCTTTTGAAGGGAGTGTACAGGCTCTCAGCCACAGCTTGCTTGCTCTTGGCTTCTGTGTGCTCTCTCTCACACACACAAACTGCTGTTTTTTCCATAAACATAAAGTTTGTATCAATCCCCCATTTCTCCCTAAATAGGAGCCTGCCAGATTAAGAAGTGTTTCAGTGCATGTGTGTGTGCACAGTACACACACACACACACAGAGAGAGAGAGAAAGAGAGAGTATACAAAGTACCCCAGAGAGAGAGAGAGAGAGAGAATATACAAAGTACCCACACACACATATATGGAATGTTATAAAAATATTCTTTTCTGAATATCATGCTCACTTGGCAAACAGATCAAGCTACATTTTAAATATGCCATTTGTCTGGATCAGTCTAGCAAAATTTTATTAATGAATACATGTAGCAACATGCACAATGCTGACTTTTCAGACAAACATTTGTTCCCATGAGTGAGTTAGATAAGTTATCAATTTTGTCCAATAAAACTGAACACTTATTTGGCATTAAGAAAGCCGAATGCTTCATTTTTGTTCAACTTAAAGCAATTTAAAATCAAATATAGATATTGAACATTTTTGTTTTTAATCAACCACTTGTATAGTAAAATTTAATTAAACCGTATTAAATACTTTCCCTGAATATGCTGGTTTTACCCCATCAGACTAGAAAATAAATTTTGTAACTATTCATTTCTGCACCTGATACAGACCCCTTCTGAGTGCTCTGTATAGATTTAACACCTTATGATACACAAGTTATACATTTGTATTATATGTATATGTGTGTGAAGAAAAATAAAGCAGGAGTTGCTCCTGGACTGCTTTCTCTTTAGAATAACTCATAAAATCTAGTGAGCAGAGATCCATATCAGAGCACCCATGTGTTGCAGTGGATAGAATATCAATCTAGAATTTAGGAGACATGGTTTCAAATTCCTACTCACCAGGAGGGGGTAGAAATGGTAAAGCAGTCAACCCAAACTCTGGTTGTGCAGCCGTATACCTAAATCACTGAGCTAGCTGGAGTTACCACAGAGAAAGCCTAATTTCTATTCCCAGTAACCCAACTGGATACACCTACAAGGGTCCCCTTGGCTGATTTTAAGGTATGGATGGGTTTCTACAGATTTGGGTTCTCCTTCCAATAATCCAGTTTCAGGCCCAAATACTTTGCACTGGAGCAGAAAATGAACTGATACCTAGTCGCCTGGTGGAGAATCAGTACCAGCTGGAGATTCCAAGCCATCTTTAAAGGCAGCCTCATGAAGACTGCATTACTATAATCTAGTCTGAATGGAACTTGGGCATAGGTGACTAGCAAGATTCAAATAAGTGTAGCTGGCAAATCTGCAGAAGGTGATACGATTGACACAACTTGTGCCTCCATAGATAGCATGAAGTCTCAGAAAATACTAAGCTACATTCTTGATTCTTCAGGAAGAATGAAGCCCCATCTAATAACAGTTCCACAGTTTTCAAATCAGCTGATTTCCCCATCCATAGTATTTCTATCTTATCTGGATTAAGCTTCCCCTTTTTATCTTCATTCACCACAAAACTGCTCCACACACATTGTTTCCACAGTTTTGTGTGAGTGGTTGCTGGGAATCCAAGGTCATGAAAATACTGGTGACACCTTAGCTCACATCATTATTCATGAAGATATTTTTAAAAGTATGTGGGCAGGATAGAAGCCTGAGTCACACTAAATGGCCACAAAGAGAACCAGAAAATTCTGAATATGTCCCCTCAAACAGGACTAGAACCACTGGAACACTGGGTCCTTTACTTTACCCCAGGTAATCCTCCCACAAGCTTAACATTATCAGTGGTATCACAGGCTACCCAGAGATCCATGAGAACAGGGTTGTACTCTCCTGTCTATTCTCCAGCACAAGTCATTTACCAGAGAATCAAACCTGTATTTAAACCACAGCCAGGGCAGAAACAAAAATGGAATGAACTGAATCCAAGGCCACCACTGTTCCAGCATAATGTACACTCCACTGGAGATTTTATTATCATTAACTAGAATCAAAAGACCCAGATTTGTATTTTGTTTTGTTTTAGTAAGCATTTGGCTGTTCTCTCAAGTGCAGTGGGAACAGCACCCTCCCTCAGAGAGCCATTAACTACCACAGAGATCCAGATGATAAGTAGAAGCCTGGCAGAAATTGGCTGAATTCCTGCTACTTAACATAGTAAATTGCACTAGAGTAGGCCCACTGAATCAATGGGGATTTGGTTAATCAGTTCCTCCAAGCACTACTGATTGTAAATGGGCCATCTCTAGTTGCATTTTACTTTAGCACAGTAAGTAGCAACTAGAGTAAGTCTATTTGAATCAATGGAATTTACAGAAAAGTTGACTAACCAAATCCCACTAGATTCTATGGGCCTGCCCTAGTGCAACTTATTATGCTAAGCAATAGGATTTTAGCCCACAATCTAAGAAAGCCATTACCAAAAGGCAGGTAATGGGTCTCAAACTACCAATTACCTTGTCTACATCACTACTCTGCACAAGTTGAAATGTTACTAAAAGACCATGATTAGAAGCACCTCTGACCATCTCTGAATCTGTCACAGCATCCAATTCTGATCAAATATGAGCAATTTGTTTCTAATATGTAAAGCATATTTGACACCGGAAGCAGTTGAAGGGCTCCCAGTCTGACAGTCTTTCACCACTTGAAAAAGAAACAAGTCTAATTAGCCCACAAGGAAAAGAATTATACAATTATTTTAAAAATGTAAATACATTAAATGACTTTTGAGATGCATTTTGCATCTCTGGAGATGATGCCTTGGCCCGTCACTTCAACCTTGTTTAAAAAAACCTCACAGCTATTAGATGCACTACACATATTAAACACGCTTGAAAAATAAGGTCTACCAACAAAGAAAAAAGAAAATCAGTTTGAAGAACTGATCATGTCATGTGACCACCATCTCTGGGAAGAATCTGTGTTGAAAGGCATCAGAGCTGCACAGTTGATAATGAACGGTAGTTGCATATTAAGAGCTTATTTCTCAAAGGAAGCACAAACAAATTGGGTTTTATTAGCTGTTTCATTAAGTTTTATTTTAGACAAACACACACAGAAAGCATATGTGCAACATCTGATATAAAGGGATTCTATTCAAAACAGTCTCTGTACAAAACCCATTAATGTAGCATTAAATTACTCAACAAGCCTGCAAATTTAACCATAAATTTAACTCTTTGGATAATCTATCATTTCTGACAGAGTTTATTTCATTTGCTCTGATCTTTAAATCAGTGTATGTCTCCTTCCAGTACATTAGTTCTGTCTTTTAAGTGACATTACCCCCAAAAATCTCATATATTTTAAAATCTATGTGGCTAGTGCTATGGTCATTATGTGGTATTAATTTTGCACCTACAACAAATCAATATGTCTGTTTTTGTCAGTAAACATCCAAACACAAGACAGAGCACTTCAGAGAAAATTACCTTATTCTCAGCTGCTTTAATTGCTCTGCTATACAGTGGTGCCCCGCATAGCGAGGTTAATCCGTTCCGGATTAACCTTCGCTATGCGAAAACATCGCTGTACGGGGCAGGAAAAGCCTATTGGAACGCATTAAACTTAGTTTAATGCGTTCCAATAGGCGCCAAAACTTACCCCTCCAGCGATGTTTTCGCTGGTCCGGCGGCCATTTTGGAGCCGCCGAACAGCTGTTCGGCGGCTCCAAAATGGCCGCCGGACGCCCCAATCATCGCAAAGCGAGCGCGGCGATTGGGGCAGCTCCGTATAGCGATCCCCCAAAAGGGATCGCTATACGGATTCTTCGTTATACGGGGCGCTCGTTAAGCGAGGCACCACTGTACTTGTTTCCACTGAAACACCATGAGCCAAATTCAAAGACTACCTGTGTTGGAACAAACCAATACTGATTGCACACACAGCTGTATGTATGAGGAACCTATGCAAAAGAGCAAATACAGCATGTGCCAAAATTTTGGGAGGAGGGGGAACTGCACATTTAATAGTTCACTATAGATTTCTCCCATTAAATCTTTGGTACAATCACAAAAAAATCGAGTACGGCATTAAAACCGTTGAGTTTGTGCATTAACACTACGGTCTTATTCACATCTATACAGGAATAAATTCCTCTGAACACATTAGCGGAAATCCTGTTGATCAGTGTATTAACTAACACTAGAGGGGGCCAGGAATTCCATTGGAGTCGATGGATCTTAGAGCTGTCTTTTTTTTTTAAAGGCCATGAATGTGCTAAATATTAATACCACTTGTGAGCACATAGGCTTTCTTTTTAAGTAGACTAGTAGCTTTTGTAAACATTTGTGAAGTCGTCCAAAGTGATCTAACACTTATGTCCAAAGCATACTTTTTTAAAAAGGGAAAGTGTATAATTTTCCTGGTGATATTTTTAAAGAACACATACAGTATATCTGCTTTCTGAATTGAAGAAAGTCTAAAGTTCCTGTTTATTTTTAATTGAAATATTTCACACTGAATTTGAATATTTTCAATGCACTTCACATATCAAAACTAATAAATTATACTTTCATTCATAAGAACAAAAACCAAGGATTACCTTTTTAGAAAATCAAAGTTCTTTAAAAACAGTAACAAAACAAAACAAAAATAGGCTAATTAAGAAATGGAATGGTGAAAGATCTTATTGGTTAGTAGTCCTGTAAAAGCAATTTCCTTAAAGGAAACTGTGTCACTGTGTACCCATATATTTAGTTTCAAGGAGACATAGTACAGAAAAGGCAAAGAAATAACATGGAGCATAGATGAACATCAAATCACAAATTTATATAACTTGAGGCAGAACCAGCAACAGAGACTTTGTAAGAAATGAAAAATCATTTAGTACCTTAAACCATTGTTCTAAGACTTAAACACTCTCCATACCTTTACATTTATCCACTGCCAATTGTCTCCCATTTGTTGTGAGCATTTGATAAATTCAGCACAATCCTGTTTGAATTTATTCTCCTCCAGAAATAAGTCTTCAGAAGCCTTCTTAAATGACATCTATCAAGAAAACACTGTTAGTAGAATATACAGGCCACAAGCTCTAAATAGAACACACACAGACCTCCCAAAGGAAAAGGAAGAATAGCAATTTAAGGGATCAACTGAGAGTGAGAATCAAACCTTCCAAGGACTTTCTGCTCCTGAAAAATAATAGCCTCCACCACTACACACTGCTACTAGCACTCTGGCAACCTCGAGCAGTTTTGAGCTGCAACTCTCATAACCTCTGGCTAATACAGCTCATGGTGAAGGATCATGGAAGCAGAAATCCAAAAAATCTGGAGGCCACCAGGTTGTGCAAGACTGCCAAATCTTGTTGTAACCCCTTTATTACTATGCACCCTGGCATCCTTTATGCTAGCAATCAAAAAGGCCAGTGGTAAAACACTTTGATGCTGGCAGTCCAATATTTGTACCTAAGAAACAAACTGATTTCACTTCAACTTTATTCTGCAATGAATGTATCTCTTCTTGAGCTCCAGCCTAAAATGCATTGTGCCACACAGCACTGGACATCAAGTACTGGGTTAGAAATACAGAAACACTTCCAACCACAAACAAGGCTCACCTCTAATTTTTCCTTTCTCTTTCTAACTGGATTATTGATAGTGTGAATAGAACCAGGCATTATCGTCACTGTAGGTTGCTAGGAATTGGGAAGACTAAATACACTCTAGATTTTGTAAATATGTCAGTAATTATTAGGTTTCCCATTGCAGTGATCAGATGCAAAACTGTAATCAACACACTACAGGTAAAAATACTGTAGTTTTTCAAACAAGACTTTAAATAGAACCACCTGTTTTTAGCAACATGAGCAGATGCAGACGTAACAGAGCAAATGGAAACTCTTAACACATAACACTGGCTCCTTTCTCATATATGTGCTATGAAATTGTTTCAAGGAAAGAGGAAAAAATCAAGCACATCCTTGGTTAATATTGTTTCACACTACATGCACAGATAAGCACCTGAATGAATTATGAAGGAGTTATGAGAATGTAGTCTATTCCTTTGTCTTGAGAATTTAGTCTGTTCTTTCAACATCTTTATTTTCAAAATTAAGGTATTCTGGAGCAAGACTTCACAATTTGGAACTCATTGTGATGAATGTTATTCCACAAGCTACATACAGTAACTGAACTCCCAGTACTGGATAAATGTTTGTGGTGTTGCTACCTGTACTCCGGAATGATGACGGGGAGGGAGGTCAAGAACCTAGAAGACTGCAATATATAACTGTCTTTGACTTAATCTTTTTTGGGGGGGGGGGAAACAAGCCATAACAGATGCATTTAGTGTAGCATGTTGGTAGTAATCACAAAATGCTTGGACCTCAGAAAATCATTGAATTGATTGTGAACATAACTGGATTCTGGTAAAAAAGAAGAAGATAGTTTTTTTTGAGATCTTCCTCCTTTCTTCTTCTAATGGTATCCCAAATATGCACATTGAAAAGTCACATACTGTAGGTCAAATACCAGAATCCCCATAATCACAAAAGTTTGTTTTTCTGTTCAGTGGTGCTACTCAAAGTCAAGGGCTTTGTGATACTTGGGCAGACTAACTCAAAAGCCCTGATGCTTAGGACTACATCTTAAAACACATTCTCTCCTCCCTCCCATTCCAATATATGTAACATCTGAAATAAACAAGCACTATAACAGCAAGAATTCTATAAAATGAGATACACCTAGTTACAAGGTGGTCCAGCCTGGCGCATTTATTATTATGTAATGTGCTACCATTATCCAGGTAGTGGATTCATCACTGCATTACGTGATCTATCACTGTTTAGTGCTTCCATTCTAAGTTTCATTTCCCTACATAAGAACCTTTACCACATTAAACACATGCAAAATTTACTAAAATGTGTGCTGGGGTATAATTCTCTCAACTGTTCTCCTTCCTGATCACAGTTCTGCCCTCCTCCTCCATTACCATAATCTTACTAAAATCTCCTGAGCATTGACTATGTTTCTTTTTTTTTAAGTTTTAAAAGGTTACGCAAAGCCTTCATGATATACAGAATAAGAAAACCACAACAAAGCATCATATATAGAAACACAGTGGAAACAAAGCCACCATAAAACATTGAAAATGGGAAAGCAATGTAAAAGGCAGGGATAAAGATCAGAATATTTCTACTGTGCCTGGATTCAACTATAGCCACAAAAGTCCAAGCCAGGAAACCCGCAAAAGTACCACAATTGATTGTAGCAAAAGCTACTGGTCCAAGAAAACCAATGAGGTTACAATCCCTAAAACATTCCCTCACACAGTTATCTACCTGAGTGACAAAGGCTGTTTCTAACCCAAACATAAGAACAAAACTAATGTACCATTTCACTGTATTTCAAACAAAAAGAGGCTAAAATAAACTGATCACTTCATGATCCCAAACTATTTTAGTGTCTTAAGCCCCCTCCCTTCCTTCCTTCCTTGTACACTATATTAAATTTTATTCGGGCGAGAAAACTGAGTGCTTGGATGCAAATGCAGCACAGCTAAAACAAAAAAGGCATGCTCATCTTAGATATCACCAGCTGTTGGAAGGAAGCACAAGAAGCCTGTTAAGGGAAGTTTTACAAACCTAGCCAAAACTGAAAGAAATAGATATCAGGACTACCCAAGGTGAATTTCTTAAAGCAGCTATGCAGAAAAAAAGACTGCTAAATGTATACCAATGTTAATCTCAGAATCAGAGGCACCAACACAGACATCTAAGATCAGAAGCTCCCTTATATGTTGATATGGATTTCAGTTCCCCCAAGAGTTGCCATTTTGATGTCTAAAAGACATACAGAGATACAAGGCATTGAGGGGATGCCTAAATTTTATAAAAGTACCCAAAAAAGTTGGGGGAAACCCCTGCAGTCTCCAAAAGAGAAATATGTTCCTCACCTATGGAATGCTAAGAGGACTAGAATACCAGAGGAGGAAGAGGAGGAAGTACCATGGATCAGAACTTCATTCTGCAACCTTTTGTTGCAGGCCTCATATGTTCCCTTTTCCTGTTTCAGCATGTGCTGCTGGTTTAAGCAAGAAAAACAGCACCAAATTAAGGGGGAACATGAGCAGGGCAAGAAAAGAAAAACCAAAGTTGAGAACTAATTCAGCTCAAAAGCCAGAGTGTGCTGACAATTGGGAGAGAATAGGGCAGACCTGGGCAAAGTGCGGCCCGCGGAGTTTTGAACATCAAAACCATTTATAGCTTTTTGTCTAAAGTTGATCAGTTGCTTATCTTTAACATACCACAAAAAACCTTTTTAGTATTTGTGAAGATTAACAAGTTTAAAATGAAAACAATCATAACATCACTGTTTCATTTTATTTTTAAGTAAAGTTCGTTCGGGGCTCCCGAACACAGTTACGATTTTTCATGTGCCCCCCCTATAGAAATTAATCGCCCACCCCTGGAATAGGGGAAAAAGCAGGAAGAGATATGAAATGAAGTATCAGGAAGGAAAGTCTGGATGACTGACTGGAAGTGAACACATTCCATACTGCAACTTTTTGTTGCAGGCTCTTGCTTGCTGTGGAACAAGACTGGGAAAGGACCATGGCCATCATGTTCTGCTCCAGCTTTCCCACAGATGGTGACTCTGGGAAACATCATGATGGACTTCAGAGGTACAGTATTTTGTCCCATCTCTTTTTAAATACACACAAAGAACCATGACCCACTGGATCCTCAGCTGACTGTAGCCTCCCAGGACATAAATTCCACTGCGATTAAGCCCATCACTACACACAGAGCCACACACACTCGGCGTTTCAGTCCCCACTGCTGAAAAGACTCAAGAGTGCGGTGCCACCGCGAAAACCTATGCATTTATCCCCAAGTGACCTAGAGGAAAAAAACAGGGAGGCCGGTCGCGCACAGGAAAACAGCTCGTTTATTGGGATTGCACAGCCGACTGGGCAGGGAGTTCCTTCCCTTTGCAAAAAAAAATCAAGCCTGCATCTGGCAGGCTGAATTGACAAACCTGCTTTCGGCAAACCCGTCACGCCAGAGCTCGTTCACTCGCTGGCTCCCTCCCTTCTCCGGGACATCTCTGGGGAAAAAGGAGTGGGGAGGAATTAATTCGGGGAGGAAGCGTCAGCCTGGCTGGGAATAACAGGCGTGTGTGTGGGGGGGAAGCACAGAGACACGCCGTGTGTGCAAAATGGAGCAAAGGGAGCCAGCCGCAGCGGGAGTTTCCAAACGGCGCCCTGCAAGGCGCAGCACGTCGGGGCAGAGCAGCTGGCCCGGGCAGTCGGAAGGGGAGGCCCTCGCGGGAAGAAACGCAGCCCGGCGCCTGCCTCCCTGTCAGGACCCCTCCTCCATCTCTTCCTCTCACCTTCTCCACCTCCCGCCAACTTCAGACAGAGAAGCAACGTTCCTTTATTTCCCTATGGGGGCGGGGCTTGGCGGCAGACCGGGAGGAAAGGCTGGGCAGTCGCAGAAGCCGCGGCGCATTGCCCGCCCCTCCCCGCTCGCTCCTAGAATAGCTTTTTGAAAATTAACTCGGGGAGGAAGCGTCAGCCTGGCTGGGAATAACAGGCGTGTGGGGGGGGGGGAAGCACAGAGACACGCCGTGTGTGCAAAATGGAGCAAAGGGAGCCAGCCGCAGCGGGAGTTTCCAAACGGCGCCCTGCAAGGCGCAGCACGTCGGGGCAGAGCAGCCAGCCCGGGCAGTCGGAAGGGGAGGCCCTCGCGGGAAGAAACGCAGCCCGGCGCCTGCCTCCCTGTCAGGACCCCTCCTCCATCTCTTCCTCTCACCTTCTCCACCTCCCGCCAACTTCAGACAGAGACGCAACGTTCCTTTATTTCCCTATGGGGGCGGGGCTTGGCGGCAGACCGGGAGGAAAGGCTGGGCAGTCGCAGAAGCCGCGGCGCGTTGCCCGCCCCTCCCCGCTCGCTCCTAGAATAGCGTCTGAAGCTTTTTGAAAATGGAAGTAATAGCTGGGCGCATGCGTGCCCGCTATGTATAAAGAGAGGCCGAAAGGAAAATGCAGTAGAGTAGGCTTGTTCGTCTCTGTGGTAACCAGGTTTTGCGATAGAGCAAAATCCCGCCCTCCTTAACCCTTGCAAGTCATACGGAGTAGACATTTTTAAAGACTTGTCCTGAAATCAGTCTTTAAAAGGAGCAGGGTTTCTGTTTTGCTGTTCTCAGGGTTGGTGGTTGATGAGAGACGAGAAATAATATTGGGGGAACAGGCAATCAATGCTTTGGTTCATTCGAAGTTGCAAGATGTTTATGAGTAAAAGTCAAATCCAGTTGTGAAATCCAGATCCACTTAAATGTTCTTCAATTCTTTTTAATAAGGACTATACTGTACATAAAAGCAATGTGATATCACAGATGGCATTTTTCTTCATAAACAACTACACATTTGCCAGTTCTCTGTAATACAGAACTAAAAGTAAAAAAGTAAAAGGATTTTCATTATTTTTAGAAGTCACTTCCATTGCCAGAATACATATATCACATATATTCCCATGTACCAAACAATTAAAAAAAATCATAGTATCCTTATTTCATTTTACCATAATGGGAGAAAAGTAGGTACCCAGACTGTGATAAAATCAAACATTGCATTTATGTCCACAGATAGTTTTGCAGAGATCATTGGCATTGGCTTTGGAGTTCAAAATGAAGCAGGGCAAAGGCTAATAAGAGTTTTGTCCAGAGAACAAGCTGGTCATCACAAACACTCTTTTCCAACAACACAAAAGGCGACTGTTTGAAATAGAAAGAGTAGTTTTGGCAGGATGTTCATTTTGATTGTTGAAATCCTTCCTAATTGTGATAATTGTATTTTTTTCCATTTTTCTAGGTCTATTTTTATTTGGTTGAGTAGTTTTATATAATTGTCTTCTTTCATCTAGCGGTTAAATATATTCTGAGGTAATTAACTTTTAAAACTATTTTTAGATCTGACCTCTTTGAAAGTTGACTTTTTTGTTTGGCTGTTAGATTTTTCACTATAACTTTAGTTTTTTTAAAAAAATTATCTTCAGTCCTGCTATTTCTCTGAATTCATCAATTTTCTCCAGTAGTTTCAATATTGTTTCCAACGGGTCTTCCAGAATGAACAGCAAATCATCTGCGAATGCTTGTAATTTGTAATTCTTGTCCTTTATTTTAGTGCCTTTGATTTCTGGATCGCTCCTCACATTCCTATTTAATACTTTCAAAGTTAATATGAACAACAATAGGGAGAGCAGACATCCCTGTCTAGTGGCTTTTTAATATTAATATTATCTGTCAATTCACCACTTACAATTTCTTTGGCTGTTTGTTCATTATAGATTGTCTCAATTAGATTTATGTAGTTTTTGCCCAAATCCATAGTTTTTATTTGCTGTATCATAAATTGCCAATTCATATTATCAAATGCTTTTGGGGCATCCACAAAGACTAATGCCATTTCTTTCCCAGTATATTCTAATATGTCTAAGATTATCTTAAGGTTGTACATTAGCTGTCTTTTTGGCAGAAACCCATTTTTGTCTGAATGCATGAACTCCATTAGAATTTTTTTCAATCTTTCCACTATAATTACTGCAAAGATTTTATAGTCCACATTCAGTAATGATATTGGTCTAAATTTTTTTATATGTGTAGAGTCCGTATCTTCTTTTGGTATTAGGGTAATATTTGCCATGTGTTGGGTATTCTAGCTTCTAATAAAACTTTGTTACAGACCTCTTTCATTGGTAGGCTTAATATATCTCGGAAGGATTTATAAAACTCCACGGGTATTCTGTCTGGTACTGGGGTCTTATCATTTTTTTAATTGCTTCTGTTTCTTCCATCATTATTATTTTCTCATTTAGGAGACTTTTAGTGCTTTATGGTACTTTAGGGAGATTTACTTTTTTGATATATTTATTGCTTTTTCGAGGGAAATTTCTTGGGTATCATACAAATTCACATAGTATTCTTTAATTTTTTACAGTGAACCCTCTACTTATGGAATTAATCCGTATTGGAACGGTGGCTGCAGGTCAAAAAGTCTGTAGGTCGAGTCTCCATTGACCTACAAGCATTGAAAACCGATTAATCCGTACCCGTCGTTTTTGTTCCGTTTTTGTTCCATTTTGGTTTTTTCCTGGTCTGTAAGTTGATTCTCTGGCTGCAAGTCGAACCTAAATTTTGCAGCCAGAGAAGTCTGTAACTCGAAAAGTCTGTAAGTCGAGCCATCTGTAAGTCGAGGGTCCACTGTATTTTCTCTTTTTGATATTGTAGGTCTGCCTTTTTATCTTGTAGCTTCTTTATTAATCTTTTTTTCTTTTTTCAATCTATAGGACAGCCATATTCCAGGTTTGTTAGCATTTTGCCTTTTTTTGTAGCCACATCACACTGTTGGCTATATTCAGCTTGTAGTCTACAACAATTCAGAAATCCTTCTTACTCGTAGTTTTGCTGAGCCACATATCCCCCATCTTGTAACTGCATTTGTTTGCATCTTTTTCTGATGTGCAGTACTTTGCACTTATCCCTGTTGGATTTTATTCTGTTGTTTTCAGTCCAGGTCTCCAGCCTATCAATATCATTTTGAACATTGTTTCTGTCTTCCAAGGTATTAGCTATTCCACCCAATTTTGTGTCATCCACAAATTTGACAAACATTCTCTGCACTCCCTCATCCAAGGCAATAATAAAATAATGTTGAAGAGCACCGGACCCAGGACTGAGCCTTGGGATACCCCACTTGTTAACTCCTTCCAGTTGGAGAAGGAGCCATTAATCATCACCCTCCAAGTACAATCCTCTAAGCCAGGCTTGTCCAACCTGCGGCCCGAGGGCCACATGCGGCCCAGGTTGTGGGGGCGGGGAGAAGGAAGGAAGGAAGGAGTGGGAGGGGAGGGGAGAGGGGGGCTGTGTGACTGCATTGCGCTGTCCCCGCCAATAGGTGGACCCCCTCCCAGCCCCATAATGCTGCTGGAGTTGAAGCTGGCAGCCTCTGCTGTCTGAGATTGCAGCTGCCGGTAAGCGCACTTGGAGCGGGGCTGAGGAGGACGGCTAGAGCTGCCCCCCCATGCAGCCCAAACCAAATTTATGTGCGGCCCAAACCAAATTTTCATCTTCTAATGTGGCCCAGGGAAGGTGAAAGGTTGGACACCCCTGCTCTAAGCCAATTGTGTATCCACCAAACATGTGGCCCTATCCACTCCACACCTAGATATCATGAGGCACTTTGTCAAAAGCTTTGCTAAAGTCAATATATACTATGCCTACATCATTCCCTCTGTCTATCAGAAAGTTTACCGAATCAAAAACCGAGATCAGATTAGTCTGGCAGGATTTGTCAAGGACATGCTGGCTTCTGTATTGTTTTCTAGGTGCTTGCATAGTGACCATTTTATAATTTGTCCAAAATTTTCCCTGGTATTCATGTCAGGCTGACCAGCCTGTACCGTGGTGCCCCGCATGACAATGATAATCCGTTCCATAGAAATCACTATTTAGTGAAAATGTCATCTTGCGAAAACCGTTTCCCCATTGGAATGCATTGAAACCCATTTAATGCATTCCAATGGGGAAAAATTCTCGTTGTTTTGCGAGTATCGCCCATAGGGAAGCCATTTTGTGAAGTGCCGATCAGCTGTTAAAATGGCTGCCCTGTGAAGCATCGGTCCTGAAAACACCCATTTTGTGAAGCACCAATCGGTGGCAAAATCGTTGTCTTGCGAAAATCGGTTTGCGAAGCAGAGACTCAAACATCGTCCAGCGAAAATCACCCATTGGAATCACTGTTTTGCGAATCGCTATAGTGATCACAAAACCTCATCGTCATGCAGATTCGTCATTTTGTGAGGTCATCGTCTAGCAAGGTACCACTGTACTTCCCAGGTTCCTCTTTTTTGCCCTTTTTGAAGATAGGGACAACATTAGCCCTCTCCAATCATCTGGCACCTCACCCATTTCCCATGATTTAAAGAAAATAATGGAGAGCAGTTCTGAACGTTCTTTGGCCAATTCCTTCAGTACTCTTGGGTGCAGTTCATCTGGCCCTGGAGATTTGAACTTGTCCAAGGTGGTAAGGTATTCCTTGACTATTTGTTTCTCAAACTCCAGCTGCAATCCTGTCCCCTCCACTTGCACTTCACATGTGTCTGGAGGTTCATAGTCTGTCCTATGGGAAAAGACTGAGGTAAATTGGAATTGAGCACCTCTGCCTTTTCTTTGACATCAGTTATCATTTTTCCATTGCCATTCAGTATCTGTGCCACTGTCTCTTTTCTTAGTCTTTTGCTTCACATGTACCCAAATAATGCTTTTTTATTGCTTTTAATGTCTCTAGCTAATCTCAGCTCATTCTCAGCTTTTACTCTCCTAATGCC